CCTAGGCAATTTATTCCAGCGCTTAACCACTCTGACAGTCGGGAAGTTTTTCCTAATGTCCAACCTAGACCTCCCTTCCTGCAATTTAAGCCCATTGCTTCTTGTCCTATCCTCAGAGGTTAAGAAGAACAATTCTTCTCCTTTCTCCTTGTAACAACCTTTTATGTACTTGAAAACTGTTCTCATGTCCCCTCTCAGTCTTCTCTTCTCCAGACTAAACAAACCCAATTTTTTCAATCTTCTCTCATCGGTCATGTTTTCTAGACCTTAATCATTTTTGTTGCTCTTCTCCGGACTTTCTTCAATTTGTCCACATCCTTCCTGAAATGTGGCGCCCAGAACTTGTCACAATACTCCAGTTGAGGCCTAATCAGCATGGAGTAGAGCGGAAGAATTACTTCTCGTGTCTTACAACTCTCCTGCTAATACATCCCAGAATGATGTTCGCTTTTTCTGCAACAGTGTTACAACTGTTGACTCATATTTAGCTTGTGGTCCACCATGACCCCCAGATCCCTTTCCGCAGTACTCCTTCCTAGGCAGTCATTTCCCATTTTGTATGTGTGCAACTGATTGTTCCTTCCTAAGTGGAGCACTTTGCATTTGTCCTTTTTGAATTTCATCCTATGTACTTCAGACCATTGCTCCAGTTTGTCCAGATCATTTTGAATTTTAATCCTATCCTCCAAAGCCCTTGCAACCCCTCCCAGCTTGGTATCATCCGCAGACTTAATAAGTGTACTCTGTATGCCATTATCTAAATCATTCCATCAGGCTCTGCCATGGCATGGGCTGGGGCGGTTCTGCGTAAGGCGAGCATCGGGCAGCCTCTGATTCGGTCCTGCCTCTGGGCCGGGGAAGCTGAGTTTGGGGGGAAGGGCTGTGAATGTCCTAGTGGATAGAAAACCTCTTTTGGGACACTCCAGGAGATGCAGATGCAGAGCAGAGATCCCAGGGTAAGTTTTCCCTCTGGGAGATGAGTGGGGAAACTCCAGTCATTCACGGAGACCCTGTGAATTCCCGCAGAAAAAGGCATTTCAGGTACAAATCCCGGGACTCCAAACCTAGAAGCCTTTGGAATCTACCCTCTTCCTCTGGCATCACTAAAACCAGAGGTGAGACTGCGGGTTAACTGCGTCCTCACACCCAGGATCGTGTCCCCCTTCGGCCATGCGGTGCCCAGCACCGACATTAGGGGCTGTGGCAGTGACCCAGCCCTTCCCTGTGCCTGGGGGTGTTCTTTGCGACCCACTTGAGCTTTGGCTGCCAGCAGAGGGGCTCTCCAGCGCCAGCTGCCCTCTGATGTCGTTCCGAACAGTGCCGAGACCCAGACAGAGGGGCATTGGAGATGCCCGATGGTAATGACATTGGATTGCTAACGACCAAGGCTGGATTCAGATTCTGGTTCCTGTGCTCACATTAAGGAAGGGAAATCCATTGTCCCAGGGGAGGTGGGCGGCCCAAGGCAGTGCTCACGTGCTTTTCAAGGCAGGCGCTCTGCTCCAGCGGAAACAGTTGGGGGCAGGGAGGCAGGACACCTGGGTTCTATTCCTGGCTCGGCGACAGAGTGCAGTCTAGTGGCTAGTATGGTTAAGTGGTTATAGCAGGGATCTGGGAGCCAGGACTCCTGCATTCTATTCCCAGCTCTGTGCTGATTCCCTGTGCGACTTTGGGCGAGTCATGCCCTGCCTCAGTTTCCCCACCAGTGAAAGGGCGCTCAGGACCCCTCCCACGCAGGGCCATTGACATGTGGCTCACACACATTTGCAAAGCGCTGGGAGAGCCCTCTGCTGCGTTCAAAGCCTGTAACGACTCGATGTGAAGGAGGCTCCGTTGCTGCGGCCTGGCGCTATGCCCGGCTGTTGCCGTGGGAAACGTCGCGCGGTATCTGTGCGGTATTCGAGGTGGCCACGCTGTCCCTCTCCTCAGTGGGGTGACGGCGAGAGGAGCCTGGCTTTGGCACATCGGGAGTGACGGCAGGACAGATTGGAGATGCCAGCTCGGGAAATCTTTTGGGTGCTCTGAGAGGCTTGTTTTCCTCCTGTTCCAGTCAGCTGGCCTGACTCCCCTCCTTTCCCACCAGCCATGGCGCTGCTCATCCGGACCAGGGACGGACCCTGCCTGGGCTGGTGGCAGGGGCAGGGGGAGCAGGCAGAAACACCAGGGCGTGGGGAAGGAAGAGGCTGTCACAGTTGTGCCGGGAGATGTGGAATGCTTGTGCGTGTGCCCGCTGCGATCGGACGCCGAGGGTGCGAGTGGGGTAGGCATGGGGTGGGGGGGGCTGTTCCTGTATCTGCATGGCAGGGGATGTAAGCAGCTGCCTGGGGGCCCAGGCAGCATGGAATTCACAGCAATGGGAAGAGGGACAAACAGAATGAAGAGGCAGATGTGAGCGATGGGCCGGGGGGAGAAGGGTGCGGGGCCCGGGGGGAGAGGCTGGTGCAGGGCTGGCAGTGGGGCATGCATGTCTGTTAGCCCGTTTCAGTCTGTTCCTTGCCCTACCCTCTCCCCAGCGTCTGGCAGCCTATGGGGTGCCTGGGTCCCCCTCGTCTCTCAGCCGGGGAGGCCCATCCTGACCCGCGCCTCGCCCTGCACGGTGGGGATCTGCACTGGGCCCCAGGAGTCCCCGCACGGAGCCGGGGCCAGAGCCAGGGCCAGTTGACTCAGAGCGAGTCACTGCGTCGCGTGGGCGTCTGTGAGTGTTCACCTGGGCTGACGTGCTCAGCAGCAGACGCCGATCCAGGGCCCTTGATCCAAACACAGAAAAAGAAAAACTCTCCAGCGCAACAGAGCTGCAGCTCAGCTGTCCAGCCCCTCCACCCCCACAGTGCCCTGCCACCATCAGCCCCCCAGCTAAACCCGCTCTGCCCCCACTGTCACCCCGGTGCGCCCCTGCTTTGAACTGCCTTGGGTGGGGAGATGCACTTTGCAGTGCTGTGTGTCTGAATGGGGGTACATAGGGATGTGGGTGCATGTACTGCAGTGTTTGCGTGGGTGGAGTTGTGCGACGGGGTAGCAGCGGACTGGACGCACTGTCCCCGCGTTCTCTCGGTGTGCGCGTGGTTACATATGCTATCCTTGGGCATGGGCAGAGGCTTTGCTGTGGCGGAACATGCGTGTGTATGGCTGGTGCTGGGGGTAGGTGGCCAGGTTGATCCCCGGGGCTGGCCAAAATGGCGAGCGTCTCCCTGGTCTCTTTCCGCCCCCTCCCCCCTGACGGACAGACAGACAATCCCTGCACCTCCAGAAAGCCAGCCGAAGCACCCAGCCCCATGTCCCAGCCCAGCCCCCTCATGTAGCGCCCCTCCTCGGTGATGCCCACGTGCAGAGCATGGCACCCCGGCCGCAGGGATCCTGTCGCTTCACAGCCTATTTGGAATGGCTGCTGGGCAGTGATCGCAGATTTCCCCTGGCCTGGGTACCGTGGTGGGCAGAGCGCCAGGAGGCCCCGGCGCTGCCCCCTGCGTATCTCCAGGAAGCGGCGTCACTGGGATTTCTGATCTCAGTGCCTCTCCCGCCATGGAGAATCTCTCTCTGCTTCCTAGCCCCCCTGGAGCGGCGCCATGGTCCCCCAGGGCTCCCGAGGGCCTGGGGCCACCACATTACAAACCACGCCAGCATGTGGGCACGCGTGTCCATAGTGGGCATAAAGTGCGAATTATCCCTGTGTCCCTGCCCCGGAGCTGCTGGGGCGGGGCGAGCCCCACACCTCCATGGGGCTGGCACCGAGGAGTTGAAAGCGGCCGGGGGTCTCTGGCCTGTGCTTGGCAGGGGCTCCGATGGGATGATCTGTGGAGGCTGGTGGCCAGTTGGGCAGAGGCTAAGCCCCTGGAGAAGGGGGTCTGTGTCAGTTGTGCTGGGCTGGGTGCTGCAGGGAAACGCCGGCCCTTCGGCAGCGGGCACCTGGCCAAGTCACGGGGGTTTGGGATCTGCGGTGAGGAAATACGGCCGGCACAGCTGTTCTCCACCCTCCTCCAGCGAAGGGTAAACGGGGGGTTTGGCAAACACGAGCTGAGCCCCATTGCAGGTGGGGAAACGGTGAGGCCGGCCCCCAGACGGGAACCGACTTCCAGAGTCCACCCAGGCTGGAGCTGGGACCGGTTCTCACCTCACCGCCCACTCCCTGCAGAGTCAGGGCTAGAAGCCAGTGACCCCTGGAGCAGGATTTATTATTTCTATTGCCTTCACTCCTCAGCCCCAGCCATGGCCCAGGTCCCGGTCGCGCTCGGCGCTGCACAGAGCAAACCCACAGTCCCTGCCCCATAGCCCCTAGGAAGCCTCCAGTTGGCGCCTCTTGTCAGTGCCAGGTGCCCTCGGTAGCTCCGTGCTCCCTGGCCAACCTGTGTGCGAAGGTGAAGCTGTGGGGCACCCCCTTGCTCCCCAGCTGTCTCGCACCCCCCGCTACTGTGTGAGCTGTGGGATTCTTGGGTGGGGGATGGCAGGGTGTGTGACTTGGGTGGGAGGCGGAGACGGAGACTGGGATGGAGGGACTTGGGGGGCCTTGGATGGGAATCACCCCCCTCAAGAGTCATAAAGTGCCGCCCCCTTAAACTCCTTCAATCCCACTGGTGCAGCGACGCCCGCAGATGCGGCTGCCTGGCATTGCTCCCCTGCCCAATTCTCCCTTGTCCTCCCCCAGCCTGTCTGTCTGCGCTACCCGCCAGCGGGGCAGATGCTGCGCGCCCAGGGCAGGGCCAATCCCCTTTGTTACCGGCCTGTACATCTAGCATAGCTCCAGGCTCAGGCTACCGTAATGTATATATCTGGGGAGGGCTGTATCTCAGGAATCCCTTGCTCAAATGACCCCAAATTTAGATCACTAGCCCTACCACATGTGCCCACGAGGCACGCCAAGTTTCAAAGCAATACGGCTAAGGATGTGGATTTTAGAGCACTTGGAAGAGACTGCCCCTACTCCGGAGCGTGGATGCTCTGCTGTAATAACACCCCCTCACTCTGCTGCAGCTCAGTAAGGCTCTGTCTGTCTGTCTCTCCTGCAGGGCAAATGACATAGGATGACCCCTGCTGGTCCCCTCTTACTGTCTGTGATATCGTCTCTCTTGTGGCTAACGTGGGGCTTCGACCCAGCTCCCAGCGCCTGCTCAGCTCTGGCCTCCGGGGTTCTCTACGGCTCGTTCTCGCTCAAGGACCTCTTCCCCACCATCGCCACCGGCTGCTCGTGGACCCTGGAGAACCCCGACCCCACCAAGTACTCCCTGTACCTCAAGTTCAACCGGGAGGAGCAGGTGTGCACCCACTTCTCCCCCATGGTGCTGCCACTCGACCATTACCTCGCCAACCTCACCTGCGGCCCGCAGGGCGACGCGGGGCCGCCCCCACGGGGCCAGGAGGACGGGGAGGAGGAAGGGGAGGCCCGGCTGGAGCTGTGCCAGGGCGCCAGCCCCATCACCTTCCTGCACTTCGACAAGAACTTCGTGCAGCTGTGCCTGGCCGCCGAGCCCGAGGCGGCGCCCCGGCTGCTGGCCCCCGACGCCCTGGAGTTCCGCTTTGTGGAGGTGCTGCTCATCAACAACAACAACTCCAGCCAGTTCACCTGCGGGGTGCTGTGCCGCTGGTTCGAGGAGTGCCTGCGGCTGGGGGAGCGGGGGGCGCGGCGCTGCGGCCTCACCCAGGCGGGCTGCAGCTGCCAGGCCGAGGCCCCGCCGGCGCCCCGGCAAAACGAGACGCTCTCCAACGCCCTGCCGCCAGCCGGCGCCCCGGCCGCCACCAGCAGCAGCCAGTGCTGCGTGACCGAGCTGCATTCTGGGAATGCGAATGATTTATACGCGCCGGAGATTAAATACGGTAAGGGGGCGCCGGGGCCTGGAGGAGGGCGGGGGGGTCAGAGTGACGGAGCCACAGCCGGCTCGGGCTCCGTTTGATCACTGGGTGCTGAGAGGGGGGATGGAATTTGGCCCCTTCCACCTTCGGGAATCTACTTTCCCTGTTAGCACGCTGGGGCGCAGGTTGCCCAGCGCAGGCAGTTCCAATGCCATCCAGTAGAGGGCAGCGGCGCTCGTCACGCTAGTCGTCATCTGTAGCCGTGGGCTAGTGCGTGGGAGGGGGCAAAGGGACCCGTCTGGCTCCAGTCTGTGCGGAGCGGAGACGGGGAGCTAGTGGAGTTGGTTTATAACCAGAGCACTCAGCTCCAGTCCACCTGAGTGACCCCCACAATGGCGTTTGGCCCCTTAGCATCCTGCCCTTGGTTTGCTACAAGTTCATGTTGCTGCGTGGCCTGGAAGGAATCCGGCTCGAGTCCCCTTCCAGTCTCCGCCCCCGGGTCCCGGAGCAGGTGCGTGCAGGGGGTGTGTGCAGGGAGCCGGGTGTGAGGTGTTGCTTTGCGATGCTCTGGTTGGGTTGTGATGGGACCCGGCAGCTTTGGGGTATCGTGAGTCTGCCCAGAGGGCCCCGGCGGCTACCCTGTGCTCTGGCTGTGCCGAGCTGCCGGCGTCAGGCTGGCAAGGGGAAAGGTTTGATGGTTGGGCTGCATTGAGCATGTCGGTTTGCAGTGCCCTGCCAGCTTTCTTCGCCCGTTGCGGTTTCCCGGCTCTGGGGCCGGCTCCGAGGCCTTTCTCTTGGATGCAGATGGCTCCGTGCGCTTCCCCCCCCCAGGGTGCATTGAACGTATCGACCCGAAGGCTGCTTAGAACAGACCCCAGGCACCTTCCCCAGCGCTGCTTGTGCACAGTGCAGGCCGCACGGGCTGCTCTGGGGGCCGTCCATGCTAGAGCGGGGAGGGGAGCGGCTCCCTTGTCCCCTTTGGCAGCGGGATTCTGGGATGGGGCGGGGAGTGGAAGGGGGGAGGCCACGTGCAATGTGGTGCTAAATCCAGCAGGGGGCAGAATGGACTTCAGGGCTGGGGAGCTCCCAGAGCAGGTTACCCTGGGGCGCTTGCACAAGGTTAGAGCGGGGGAGGAGTTTGCAATTCGCATGCTGTATTTACCACCCCCCCCAATCCATGACATGGGGGGTGTTGGGCAGGGGATCTCACTGGCACCATCTTCCCTGTTGGCTGGGAGTCGGGGGGTGTGATCAGCAGCTGATTTCCCATCCATCTCTGCTGTGCTGAGTCCTGCGTCCCACCACCTGGCTGATGAGAGCTCCCAATCCAGACCCATCAGCCTCCAAGGGACTTCCAGCAGCCTCTCCTGAATCCCAGGCCTTGGATCCCTCATCCCCATCACAACAGTCCCTCCCAGCGGCCTTTGCGGGAGGCCTGAGGCTGGCTCTCAGCTGCGAGGAGGAGAGAGCGAAAGGCCCAAGGGGGCAGCTGCGTCCCTAGAGGGGGCTGGAGGTTTGCCCATCTTTCCTGCGCTCCCCTCATGGGGGTGGATCCGGGGCATCTGGCGCACCGAGAGCAGGCATGGCAAAGCAACGGGGGGTGGGGTGGGGAGGGAGTGTGCACTGGAGGGCTGTGGGTGGGGGGACCACCCTGCACCCAGCCGGCGGCTGCACCGTTCACCGGAGTCAATGGAAAGACAGGAATCCAAGGGCTTTGGTCAGGCCCCAGAATTCTGCCCCCCCCC